CCACATCTATGTAGCAATGTAATATAAGTCATGCCCTGACTAAGATCAGCACAAAGGTTGTTTCAGGGTTTCATAAAATTGAGGTAGGGACCCCTGGACTTTTTCTGAGATTTTTTCACTAGTAAAATGTATTATGATTTATATAATTCCAGATTTATATTACCTCTGCATATCTCATATTTTCCATATCTCTTAGTGTATCTTCTAACTCAGCTCTTTGCCTATCAATAGTTCGYTCTTGCCGTAAAAGTTCTGCTCTTAGTGCTGATATCTCAGCATCTCTTTCCTCTATTTTTCTCTCTAATTCTCTTGCTTCTGCAACCTGGGACTGCTGCGTGAAACTAGACTTTAAAAGTTCTGATTTTAGTTGCATAATGACTTCCTCTTGCTGTGATAAACGTGAGGTTAATCCTGATTTGACACCAAGAAGGTTGATGCACTCCTCCTTGAAGTTGTTTCGTTCAGTTTTCAAGACATCGTACTCAGCACTAAGCTGACACAGTCGAGCATTAACAATAACAAGCTGTTCTTTTGAATCTGTTCCTTCTAGGAAGCTATATTCATCTGGTACTTCATCTTGTTCAATTCTCCCATCTAGTAACTATAATTAAGAACAATATTCATATGAAATGGGATACCTGTGGTAAAAAAAACACAGGGTAACCATTCACCCAGGGAASCAATACTCCAGTTTTACAGATATATAGACCTATTTAGCTTGGGTATTATTTTTTTGCCATTTCAGTACACACATTATTCCCTTGAGTATGATTTCTTTGTTTAATGGTTGCACATGAGAATTAACATACATGAATACCATACAACTCAAACAAAGAATTTTATTCTCAAGAGAATGACACATGGTCTGAAATGCACGGCCCTGGTTGAATCCTGCAACCGTATTGACATAATTTGCAACTTTTAAAAAGCCTTTTTTATTTAGGGTCATATGATAAAATGCTTATTGTCTGAGTTAGGTCGGGTCGTATGGGAAAATATTTGGCTCTCGGTCATTTGTACAGACCTTGCTGCGTTTGGTCCATACAGCATCACCTTGAGCCAAATACCAAATATTTTCCTGTACGGCCCTCCCACTCAGTCAATAAGTTCATATTATTAACTTCTTTGACCTACTAGTTTTTGAAGACCAAGAATCACACTCTTTGCTTCTCCTAGTTCATCATGTAATGCATCTTGCTCTTTAGTTAACTCATTCAGAAAATCTTCTGTTAATCCTGAAAGTCTGTTTTCTTTGGATTTATTCTGTGAGCACATTAAACCTGAATCAACGTCAGACCCAGAATGCTCTGACCCATCATAAAATATTTGACCTTTAGGCGTTGCTGAGCCACTGCCTGGTGTGGATCGACCTGATCTTCCTTCTCGGCTGGACTGGCTACCTGTTCTTGGGGTACTTAGGAGTGGAGAATCAGCTGATAATATTGGGGTACCTTCAGAGGTGGACTTAGAGGATCTGTAGCTTTCTCTTGGAGGAGTACTAGTTACATCTTTGTGTCGTCTGAAAGAAATYAAGTTGCAAGAGACCTCAACAACAAGAGATTATTCCTTATTACCTATTAAATAATCTTATTTTGAGAATTATTTCTCAGGCGGTGCTTATGTTTATTATAATAAATATGTCATTAGGGTATTATTTAGATGTTAACCTGGTCTGACACTCTTGAATTTGAAATATGAGAAATCACTCTCCATAATAAACTCAAAGTATCCAAAAGGGTATGGTTGTCGAAGCCTGGCCAATTAAAAGACCACTAAGTAGCAAGCAAACTGTCAACCCAACCTGCAATTCTTGGGTATACGATATTTTCTCTGCTTTATGCATCTACATAGAACTTAATTAGCACAAGTACAGTCACAGCACAGAACTAACAAGGATCTACAACTAAGGAGATTGCTTCAACCTGGACTAGGAAGAAGACTGTCTGCATAACATCTTAGTAGAAAGCATGACCAAATAAATATAATCATAAAAATCATTACATTACTTTATAAAAGACTTACCTGTATTTAGARTTTATATGCCTCCCAACACTAGCAGCAGCACGACTTGCTTCAGCTATTGCAGCAGCAGCTTCAGATGCCGCAGCCGCAGCCGATGGTGTCCGAGCAATCTTTTTACCAGTAGTTGGGACAGCACCAACTTGATATGGTGATGACTGCCTTACACTTCCTGGTTTGAAGTGTGCTGCTAATGCTAAAATAAGTCTCATTATTGCTTTTAGATTTCCATCCAGGATTTCTGTAAAAAATCATGAATACCAAACTTTAATGATGGATGATGTTGTTGTTGTTGATGATAAAAAGAAAATGCTAGTAATGGTGTTGGTGGTGTGGGTGATGATGATGGTGATTGTAGTGCTGGATGATGATGGCCCTGGCATGGTTGTATGAAGCCTGGWTATAGCTATCTGACGGATAAATCCTTTCCAGTGAAATTTATTGCATATCAATATAGACTTATATCCACTGGATTAGGATTTATCCACTGGATAGTTTTATCCATCCATCATACAACCAGGCCCTCTGATGGATGATGATGATGGTGGTAGTGGATGATGATAATGATAATCTGGAGCTGAATAAACAGTGCTGGTCACAATGATAATGATAATACAAAGAACAAGTTAGAAATCAACATAACATAACCTACAGACACATAATCTTTTATACATCCTCTGGTAAACAGTTTGCTATTGCTTGTATTTCACAATAATATATCCTATACATTTAGAAMATTCTATTTTTATTGCTGTTATGTATTCAATTTACACAAGCAGTGCTCAATCTATAAATATAATCAGTTTACAGGAACCATGTGACTGTACATCTTTAAGTGCTTTTTATCCCTCTCAAGACAATTTGTCCAAATTTTCCATAAACTCTTGAGGCTTTCAAGAACAATTATCATTACAATTTTCCTCATAGAAACAAATACCAAACTTTTATCTTTGTAAACAAACACTAGCAAAAAGAGATAACAGTTAAGCAAAAAAGTCAATATTGAACAAKGAATAATGATTACTACAGACAATAAAACGAAAATGATTTCAAGTTAAAATATTCAAAAAAACTAAAAATAATTTTACTTCAGCTGTACTAACCTTTAGCAGAAGTATGGTGCATTTTAATCTCGTTTACAGACATAAAATGAAGAACTTGGTCAACATTTCCCCTCATAGAGGATAGGGTGGCAGGGTTTTCATTAATTCGGAGATTTTCACCAGCTGGAAGGTGAGAAAAAAATAAGAATTGAGATATGAGTACAAAAATAAATCCACTTGGCTCTAAAGGAAAATGTTTTTGATCAATTATAAAATGGATTCAAGGGAAAATTTTCAGACTAAAAGAAATAAACCATGGGTACCAGACGAGTGTTGATAAAAAAATTAATTTAAGGAAGCATATTTTGTTGATTTTATGCTATGTTTAGGAGCTGAGATTGAATGAATCTATAAGGTACTGGTACCAACAGACAGACAATTTTTACAAGTAATAGTGATAAAAGCTTTTAGTGGGGGTAAAAAAAATTAATTATTACTGGGTTATAACAATATACACCAGCAAATGGAAAACAAATAATACTAGCTTTTATATATTACATTAAAGTGGTCAAATTATAAAAAATGTTCTGTGGATTATACAGAGGATACACTGGAATCAAATTATCTTTTTCTACCACTAAAACTATTATTAGGAATTCAAGAATAATATTTCTACTTTGGTAGAATGGTACATCTTCAATACTAAAAATAATCACTTTTATTATGATTTTGAAAATTGTAACTGTGAAAATATCCATTTGCTGTGAAACGTCAGAGGGTATCATTATGAAAATTAAACCATGTACGTGACCACGTTCTAGCCCTCCAGTACCTGTTATAATACCTATAACATATTCCATAATTTTGAATTCAAATCTCAGTACTGTAGGTTAGAATAAACTAAACTAAGTTTACTGATAAGATTTACACTTACCAACTACTTCTATTAATTGAATAAGAGCCACTCCATCCTTCATGTCCCTTGGGAGATCCTGAATAAAGCGACTTCCAGGACGTTTCTTCAGTTGAGAGTTTACCCATGCTGTATATGCTTGGAGTTGTTCCTAAAATGTATTAAAGAAGGCTCAAGTTCTGAAAACTATGCATCTGATTTTCAACCATTTTCAGCCTAAATGACTCACCAAATAGGCTAGATCTTTGGAGGTTCTAGATCTTCTTCTAGTGATTTTTCTCTCTGGAGTATCCATGAATGGGAAAATCTTAGAAACCATAAAGTATCAAATCTGCTTGCAGACTAACTTAAATATGTCATAGTACTGTAAATGGATAGATTTTTGGTAGTATTTTGACTCCTGATTTATGAATTCTACAGAAAGCACCATATTTTGTCACCAAAATGAAAGAGCAGCATATGAATTGTAAAATCTATTAATCATTTTTGTTGTCAGAAACCATTTTCTGTGCTGAAGGGTTTCATAATTTTGAATTATATTATTCAGTGGACAATGCTGTCACACAAGACTGCATGTCCTTGAATATCTAATGAAACCAAAATATGTAAAACACAAAACATCTCAGTGTCTGGCATGGTTAACATGGTTAATTATGCAGAGCAAGGGTAATAATCATAACAAATTCATGCCTGTTATTAAGGATGATGTGGCATTGGAGAAAACTGAAGAAACAATAAATTATGGTTTGGTTATTTTTGGATATTATTAAATCGCTGAATTAAAGATTTTTTGACATATTAAATAAAAAAGAAAATTATGCTTTTGGAAGTAAAATTACATGTAAAGCTAAGCAATTTTGAAAGTTTTAGTTGTTTATAATTAAAAAGAAGTGCTACAGACATAAAAAATTAATTCATTGCTGGCACGAAATTGTAAAAATAGCAAAAAAATCTAAAAATAGAATGATACAAATTTCTTACTTTTTTGCCGAAAATAGAGCTTTTGAATGTAAACAAGAGGATTTTTTCGTAGATAAGAGGATTTTTCTAGCAAAATAAATGAAAAAATTACTCTAGTAACTAAATATTTAGTCTCTATTTGCTTTCAAAACAATGAAATTTAAACTGAACATTTTTAAGATATGACAAATGTTCTGAGTATAATATATATTATATAGAGTGTTCTAAGTATAATATATATTATATAAACTTTATAATAAATGCATTTTATATTAATTTGCTGATACTATTTTTTTCATCATGTCATTGACGAAACTACATATTGATCCTAAGATAGGATTGGATAGGAAAGGTAAATAACCATAAAATTTGATYGGAAATAATCCTTACTAGACCAAACATCTGATATTGTGCTTTCTACTTCCTAATATCTATATGATATCAAATACCTTATATGGCAACTCAACATTAATTTTTAGGTATATGAACACGCATGCATCATATAGAAATGAAATATAACAAATAACATTTATAGTTTTAAGGTCCRAGAAAATAAAAAAATTTGTTAACTTTTTTATTTTTCACCACATTATCACAGGKGRAAAAACCGGATTCCCAAATTGGGAATTTGTTGGGAATTTCCTTGAATTCCCAACGAATTCCCATCCAATTCCCAGAGAGAAGGCAATTGGGAATGTGGCACTGATTCCCAATSTTAGKTTGTTGGGAATTTTGTTTTTCTATTGGGTATTAGAAGGAAATTCCCAACAATRAATCCCAACGTTGGTGTTTGAAATTACAAATATAAAATGGTTGTTTGGGTAAAAAATAAATTTATAAAATGTCTCAGAAATGCTAAAAAGTTAGTTGTAGAAAATGCTTGTATGTGATTCAAATTATAAGAAAATCTCTTTTACAGAGTGCATACAGGCTRTAGTTTTAAAAATGGGGTATACGAACAAATATCAAGCTTACAACAATATTTTTAAAAGTAACTTCAGTATAATTTACATTATTACTGGTAAAAAATTGATAAAAATATGTCAGTAATAGTATTGAAACACACATTACCACCAGAAATACCTGGCAGGTAGTCAATTTAAGGAAAGTCGGCACCCTGTCATAAAGTGTCAAGTATAAATGCACTCATTTAATGCTTATAGTATGAAATGTCATTTTAAACATTAATACAGTACAGGTATAAGTTAATGAAATGCAGATATTTTAATGCAGTATATCATCAATATCTTACAATAAGTATAATWACCAAGTTGAAGTAGATATTGAAAATATTTTAAATCTTAGATTTTTGTAGACGTTTTTAATCTAAAAATTGGGCCACCCAAAATGTATKAAAATATAAAGTAGCTCTAAACTAGTTAGATCATTCCCAAAACAATTATTTTAAAAATCTTCATAAATTACTCTTGATTGCCTAACTGTATTTTCTTACTTTGCTTCTATATAAGAAATATTCTTTAACCTGACATGAGATCTAAATAGCATGTAAATATCATGAGGAGTACATGTATGCACTCCACACCTAAGTAATTAGAAAATTACCATCAAATATCTAATAGTTTAATAAGTTTGTATCTTAAATTACAAAGTAAACTTCATTATTTTCCAACTTACCAAGTGTCGAAAAAATCGGTAAACATCCAAACTAATATTCATCTTCAACAAGGAATTCCTAAATCCCTTCAAACCAGCATAACTCATGAAATCGTATAAATAAATTCAGAAAAACTTGGAACTAATTTCCATGTGAATCTATAGCCTTTAAAAAATTCATTTTTGCTGAGTAAATTAATTTAGATCTGACAACATAGTTCGCTGTCGTTGTAAATGTCCTGAGATATTCATCAAGAATTTAAATGTTGATATAGTTAGCAAGTACTTGTCAAATGTTTAAGGATTTTATTTATTTTGAAATTAAAAACCGCTCAARCATTCAAACATAATAATAGTTGACGCTGTTCCTAAGGAACCAGAAAAACCTGGAATGTGCTTTTGAAGTGCCAAAATAATTTAGTAATAACTCATTGAGCAGCTAATGATATCAAGAAACCTTTATGAAGTGATAAAATATATCTTATTTATTTATTTTGATAAGTATTTTGAAGATAATGGKGGAAGTTTTTAAATAGTTGATGGTGATTATTTATCTCACTTGGAGTGAATAGAAATGTTGTAGTTTTAAGTTTTTGCAAATAAAATCGAAGTTCCGCTCGATAAACATCTTGTTTTTAGAGTACACGGTGAWGAACACAGGAAAGAATGAATGGTCAAGAAGCTGTCAAGTTTTATTTCTAAAGATGGATACCAGATACGGATTAAACCAAGAAGAAGTGTTCAAAATGCAGCGCGCAAAAGAAGAACCGCCTCTGTTTTGCTTTCTTAGGCTACTTGAGTTTTTATTATCYCGATAAAACTTATCATACCAATCAATTTTTCGATTAATTTAGATTAAGGTTAAGTAATGGGGACAGAAGAAGTTACATTCTTAAGAAGGAAWCACCAGTTTATAATTTTTACTGTCATGGAGACCAGAAGAAGCGCAGTGTGAACTTACTGACATACCTCTCTTCTTAAGTCATTTTCGTGTCTAATTTTCCTTCCATGTCGATGCAGAGAAGGGGAACCAACGCTCCTGTTCACTTTAGATCGCTGGGTAGCCAAAGCTTTTGGGCTTTGGTTTCCACTTTCTTCTGAAATGCTGTTCATTTTGTGTCATAATGGAGAATAATACAACATTCCTCGCTTAATTCGTGTTCATTTGACCCCTCAGTCTCGAAGGCAGTACTATTTCCGTTAGCAAGTCGAGCGTGTCCGCTCTTTCGTCGGATCGCCTCGGTACAACTCACTTTCGACATTTCAACTGATAAATCAATAACTTGTCGGAAAACGTCGGAGAGGTTCGATCAAAACATTCGTAATGACAGGAGTGATGGGTTATTCTATAGTTATTGCGTATTTTTTATTTGGATCTATTCCTTTATCGTTACAATGTGGGATTAGTACACACATAGCAATAGGACACCAGGCAATTCAGTGGTTTGACGATCAAAGAGGGAATACCAGCTACAGACAGCTAATTCTCTCACATCAAGATGCCTTTATCGCTGGTAATCCGTATCCCGATGCTATGTATTCAAGCTTTTGTTTTAAAGGAAAGTATCATTCTCTCGCTGAAGATACACATTGGACTGGGTTTCTTAATGCTACGGTGAATTATATCAGAAAGAAATATCCAAAACCTTGGAGTAAGGTATCAAAGTTTTTAATGCTTTCATGATGACTTGATACGGCATGTTACGAGAGATTGTGGAGGAGYGTCTGTGGAGARGGGGATAATAGAATGATGATGGTGATGATAATGATGATAATCATAATGATAATGTTTATTACAACCTAATTAGGGAGCATTAAATTTTTAGGAGAGGGGTGGACCAGAGGAATTCAGGGGTGGGCCACCAAATTTTTACTTGACAGTCAAAAGGGGGGGSGGGGGGTGTGGGCCATCATGTATTTCATACTACATAAAGGGGAGGGACAAGAATTCAACGAATTTCAAGGGGAAGGTAACTTTTTAAGCAGTTTATAGGGATTCCTTTCGATCGAGGTGTCAGTGATATGGATGCAATTGACCTGTTGCAACAGTTGATCACATGACCCCACCCTCTTAAAATAAACAGTTGTGTTAAAATGAACTCAGAAATGGAAAGAGCACCTCAATATTAATAGGAAGGCATAGTTTCAGCTCATAACATGTAACATGTCTCTTCATAATGGAGGTGGGGTCAAGTGACCAACTGTTGCAAAAGACCTTTTAACTTTTCTTTTCATTTGTTTGTTGCTAGGAGACTGAAAAATTGGTTGTTTTCATGCTTGGATTTGTGTCACACCAAGTTGCTGACGTGACATGGCACAGTCTTGGAATCCAACAGGGTTTTCTACAAACAATGGACAAAGTGAACTTCCATGGTTCTTTCTCAGCGGCTCATAGTGTGGGGGATCCTGGTGGAGATATGGTCAATACTTTTGAAGGAGATACTAAAAATGTCTCATTTTCTTTGAAAAATTGGTTAGTTGGCATCATAATTTTCAAAACAAATGTTTTGAAYAAATGACTGACTGACTGACAGACAGCTGACAGACAGACAGTAAACTGGATGTATGATGGATAGATACACCTATTTGCAAGAACATTGTCATACGAAAATAGAACATTAGTGATTTAGTGGGATAGGAATTATATTAAAAAACAAAAGAAGATCACTAAAGGTCAACTTTTTCTTTTGTCTTTTAATGTATTCCTTTTTCACTAAATTACTAATGTTCTATTCTTGTATGACAACCTTCTTGCAAGTAGGTGTAAGTAGAAATGATTTCATTTTCTCAATATGTCTCTAAGGTATGTTCCAGTTAATGAGCTTGCCAACATTTACACTGAATATTATGGCAAAGAATCCATCAWAGCAGAAGAGATTGAGATGTGTACCAAAATTCTATTTCTTGGATGGATGGGAGAAAGGATCGCTGGCAGCAAATTGTTTAARAGATATGCCTCAAAGTCTCCTTTTCTCATGGAAGATCTTCATGAGTATTTTCAAGGTTTGTCTTTAAAATTATGTTTAAACTATAATTTTTAGAGGTGGTCATAAACAGTCATAAAGATGTCAGTCAAAAAGTTAAAAATCTTGCAACCATTTATAACGTAACATGTGTTAAAAAGTTCATGACCTGCAACCTTCTCTAATGTCAACAGTGGTGGTTTTAAGGTGCAAACGAACATCCCTTCCTCCCTTTCTTTCTCTCTTTTCCTCTTTTTAATGTCACTTCAACCCTGAAAAGTACAGAATACAAACCCCCTTATTCAATGCCCTGGAAACAGGCTTGAGTGACGTAAAGTAACTTTGGTCCCATCTTGGGCAATTCATTGGGTAATATTATTAGCATCTTTACAACGCATCCTGTTTCAAAGACATCTGCACCAAGATCTTACTTGTCAAGGACCGTAGAGAKAAAGTATCTGGGAACCGTTTACCTCAACACTTTTTGCTATTAAATGCAAATAAATTTTCAAATTTCAGCTCCAAAAGCTTTTAGTCTTATACATACTAGTCTACTATATTTTAAAATTCATCCCGCGCCCACTTTCAAGGTGCCTCGCCGTCCTATCTTTAAGTTAAGAACATTCATTATGAATGAACTTTTATTGATTGCTCGCAAACCTATACCATTATTCCTTGTTGTCTTTTCTTTACTTCTTTCAGGTGGCTTGTCTGATATGGCCGCGTGGTCTGGACTTATTTGGCATGACGCTATAGACATGTTAGAACACGGAACCAACTTCTGYTACATTCCAAAAAGCCCACTCTTCATACGTTGCAACAAARCAAAAAYAATCACAGAAACAAAGGAAATAGCYCTAAGAAATCCTGGAATAATTTCTCTTCCAGGACTATTTGAAAATTTGAAGTTGTCCGATGTCCAAGTCAGAAGAGCGGATCAAGGAATCTATCTTTCTCTAAAAGAAAATTTAATCCATGAAATATTTATTCAATCTCTGAAGGAAAGGAAAAGTGAATTAAGTAAAGGAGAATTCAAAAATAATAGTAAAATAACATTTAATCGCAACATTAGGGAATCGGCATATCGAAGTGCATCGTATTCCACCAAGACGTCTTACGCAAATTTAGGCTGGTAAGTTCGCGTAAAATAGGGTTTAACTTTGTGCGCGCATTTTTAACGGTTTAGTGAACGGCACGGAGAAACGTTAGCGTCATTTTTTAACGTAACGTTAYTTTTTTAAGTAGACACCTCGCACACCAATGATGGTGTGCGAGGTGTCTSCTTAAAAAAATACTACGAAAAACGACTATATGAAAAACGCACTAAACGAAAGTGCCATGACAGTACCGTCTCAGCTCAAGCTGTACAGTACAGTAACCTTACCCGGTGCCGTATCGTCATACAAAATGTATTCTATTCACTCAAAATGCGCGGATAATGCACCTTCGATCACCTTAAAGGAACTGAAAGACAGAAAATAATGTCATCTCAAATTAATAATATTATTTCCTAGGTCCCTAGCCAAAGGAAACTTTGATCGTACACATGACGCTGTCGTTCTTGGCGCACCAAGCTACGGTACTCCTGGGAGAAGCCAGTACGGTCGTGTATATGTAGTAAATACTAACAAAGATGGCAGCTTGCCTTTAGATGCTCTGGACCTTGACACCCAAGCCCAAACAATTCTTGACGGTGTTATAGAGAATGGGAAATTTGGTGATGGGTTAGCTGTAGTAGATTTGAATAAGGATGGTGTTGATGATCTTGCTGTCAGTGCTCCATCGACAGGTAGGAAGTCTTTCCCGCTAGGTAGTCAACGTGCGCGCAATTTGGTAACTTCCCTTCGTGCCCTATGCTTTGTATATTCATGTAAGGAATTTTAGCTTGTGCATGTGTGCGCAAAACTAGAAGTTTTCAGTATTTCTTTATTGGTTATCCTTCTCCATCGAAAACCTCATCTAATGGTATCTTTATTATGTTCAAGGCGCCAACAGCATTCAGTACACTGGCACAGTCTATATCTATTATGGTGTACCAGGCAAAGGACTGTTGCCCAAACCTGATCTGACCATCACAGGAAAAGGCCAATATTACAACCTAGGGACCACTCTTATGGGGGAAGATATAGATGGCGATGGACACAAAGACCTCATAATAGGTTCCCCTTTTGCCCCTGTGGGGGGTCCCCAGAGGGGTTCAGTGTCGATATTTTTSGCCAAGACTCCGAGGAAGCCTGGAGAGGAGTTCTCGGTGTTGGATGCTGATTGGKCGGCGTCTGGTGAACAGGACTTTAGCTGGTTTGGATATTCGATAGAACTGATTTTCAACGGCAATCTCAAACCACTACTGGTTGTTACTGCACCAACTTTCAGGTAAGCTTCACATTTAAAAAAAGATTTTGAGAATTATTTGGAAAGAGGAAATAGTTTTTGGAAAGCAGGTACGAAAGTTGTTTGTCCCGTCACCGAACAGGCACCTCAGATGACGTAGGTTTTGCTAGCTTTTCAATTGTTTATCGACGTCCCACCGGGAAGTTATTGACAACCCCACTACATGACATCAATAATTTATAGGTCTCATGCTGTTATTTTCAACCATTCCGCAGAATATGTGCCAAACCAGACTGCAGTTACTCCACCAATGACACCCAAAGCGCTGGCAGGGTATATGTATATGACGTCATGCCAGGAACGAAGCCATCTCCAGTTGTTACAGTCACAGGACACGCTACGTTTATGAAGTTTGGTACTTCCGTCGCATTTGGGAGGCCTAATCCAAAAAGCAACAATGTTTTAGCAGTATCAGCCTCGACACTTTGTAAGTGCATTTTGGAGCTCAGGGGGGGATTTGTTAGTAGCTTGGCTTACATTGCAGGCATTCTTAGGTACAAGGAGGACTTGGGCAGACGCGCATTCCAAGTAGGAGTTCAACAATCCTCATTACCAGAGCCTAGAGCTTTTGAACACCGCCAAGGAAGAAGGAGATCAGATACCCTGGRAAAAAATGTTACCATACCACAGCAGCACTGCAATATGTATCATACAATCAAACCTAGTTTTTAAACGTATTTTAAGCAAACTCGTGTGCAACAAAAATCGCATGGTAGAGTCGCGGTTTGCGATGAAAAGTTGTGATTGTTTTTCGCGCCATTTTTCACTAATTTTTTTTAACAAACTGATTCTCGATTCCAGCTGTTCAGGGCACTGTTCTTAAGTTTGCAAAAACGTTTGAGCAATGTGGAGCCATCTACCTTCTCAACGTGACTGATTTGCTGTCACGCAAGGGCAACTGGCCAGTAACAAAGCTTCCTGTCGTGACCGTCTTCGAAGGTGACCGCAGTTTTGCGAGATTTGGTTGGAAACTCGGCTGGACGGATGTAAACTTCGATGGCATTGATGATTTTGTGTTTTCTGCTCCGTTTAGAACTGATGATGTAACAGAGGAGCTCGAAGGAGGTAAATGTGGTATTCTTGCGCGCATGCGATTTTCAGGTTCACGAGGTGCGCGCTCATATTTTGACCTTAAATTGCCGTCTATGCATGCTTTTCGTAAAGTAAGGAAAACTAAGCGATGACATGCTAAAAATGCCCCTCGTTGTGTTGCAGCTGAAGAAGGACAATTGTATGTGTTTTATGGCGGACAGAACTTTCCTACAGGCGAAGCGACAAGAGGTTGCAAATCGATTGAACCATGTCCAGGTGAAAAGGTGAGCAAAACTCTTAAAAAGCTACCTTTTTTAAATAGATATTTAGAAAATAATTGTTTGAATTTTTCTTTTACTAGGCTTCTCTCGTCTTTAAGTCTCCGGAGGTAAGTTTTTAGCTTGTATTTAAAAAATAATTAGTTTTAATTTTTAAGTTATTTTTTGTAGACATGGCATTATAACAAAAGAAATGGTTTTATCGACGTTCTTAGTTATTTTTCATTTCCATATGGGTATCTAACAGCTACGCTGAAAATTCACATCAGTTTCAAACGATATTTTAAACTTTGCAATAAAACATGTTAAGGGATAAACTGTTTTTAGATTCTTGCTAATAATATCAGTAACCAAGGAAACGAAATCTTTGCTGTGTGGGCACGTCAGAGAAAATGATAATGACTTATAATTTTTATAGAGCCCAAATTTCTATATGGGAAAGTCGCTTGCGATCATGAGAGTGGTCACTGCCAGGGTTTTTTTTTTACATCCTCAATGGTTCTGTAAATTTGTACCCCAGCATGTGTGGGCACGTCAGAGAAAATGATAATGATTTATAATTTATATAGAGCCCAAATTTCTATATGAGAAAGGCGAGTGGTCACTGCCAGGTTTTTTTTTTTACRTCCTCAATAGTTCTGTAAATTTGTACCCCAGCATACTCCCTTTCATTATTCATATATTCTCATCTATCTTAATTTAAAACTGCTTTCTCGTGCAGATTTACTTTTAAACATCAAAGCAGCGCTTCTTCTTTTTACACTTATATTTTGATTTAAGCAAATATAAAAACAATTTGCAGTATTATCCGCTTCAAAAATGCATTAGCTTTTTCAGTACGTGATTTATTTATGTACCTTCACTCTAAATTATTCGCTTTTATTCCTTTTTCCCCAGGAACGCTCTCGAATTGGAACATCTTTCATCAACATAAACAGCGACAATTCATCACTTGATAATTTTGTGGTTTCTTTTCCAAGGAGTTCATCGAAAGCTTTTCATTCAGGGGCAGTGAACGTTTACAGCATCCAAAACAAATAACTTAGAAGCATTGAGTCTAGTTTTAACGCAGAGCTAATAAATTTTTGAAGATTAGACACGTAGAGACTTTTAAGTATTGATTGTGATCGTCTGACTTTGAAAGACGCGATTATTTATATTTTTGTTATTGCAAAATGTAATACAACGCCCGTTCTGATTGGCAATAATAATAAAATAGAAATTCTTTTCTACCCGGCTTTGTGATAAAATATTGAGCGAAACCAAACTGATGTATAAAAAGATTAAGAAATTTAAACAATGGCTGAAAACCATGAATATCTCGACAAAAACTTTTTCACTATAGTGATTATTTGCCAAAGATTTGTAAAATTTAAACAAGCATACACTATAACAAACGTTCGCACTGAGTAATTATTTTTTCAATTTTGGTATGTATTATAATACGAAAAACGATAACAGTAAAATAACATGATTTAAAAAAGAGAAAGCGTAAAATTAATCCTTCTATTGTCATAAGATTTTACCATCCTGGACATGTGCTTTATTATTGTCCCATAGTAAAAAAACCCCTTGTTAGGTTACGTTGAAATCTAAGTAATTCCGCAATTATGTTTCGGAGGTTGAACTGATTTTACGACATTTAAATTTCACGAATTTGCGCTCAAATCACGATATTATTGAAAAACATTCATAATTATTTTTTTCCAAGTAAAAGCATTTCTCGAAGAAAATGACTCTTTGATAGGATGTATTGTCGTCGTAAGAGGGTCCTGAAAGGAGGGGGGGGGGGGGTCCTAATCACATTTCCATGCCCCCATTTTGACCAAATCCCATCGTCCTAGCCTTTGTTTTTCTCAAATCTCATTCCCATTTTATTATTGTGATTTTTTCGTATGAATTCCATTCCCAGTGTATAAAATTCCATTTTCCCAGCCAAAAAAGGCGAATTCCCAGCTGCTACATAAAGAACGGTAATCTAAAGAACGCCCCGGATTGCATGTTGTATTATAAAAGCTTTACAGTGCCGAAGACTTGCTTCATAAGTCTAATGTGACCCAAAATTGCTGTAGAATTCCTCATTCAAGATTGAAATAAAATCCTTAAATTTATATTTTCTTTTCCTTATGAAATCCCCAATCTTATAATTTTGTTTTCGTTTACTTTGATCACAAATTGATTATGTGACTGTATCATTATCTATGATTGGTCGATTTTTACACACCCACAGCTGTGCCCCCCGCACAGACGTTGTAACGCAACGACGCGTAACACTGTTTATAGTACGTAAGCTTACTACTCCTTTGACTCGGTTTACTCGAGTTGTTGTTTACTAAAGTGAAAACGTGGTTTCGGTTCTCACGCTGCGATCTAGTTCTGTTCTCTAGATCTGTTCTCTAGCTTTGTTCTCTCTCACACTAAGTCGTTGTAATTTGAAGTCGTTCAAGTCTGAAACCAGCGAACATCTGAATCGCATCGTTGATCCAAAAGAGACTCGACTTTCTAAGAATCCGCTTCTTATCTACAAACGTAGAAATGGCCAGAGGAAGGGGAATTCAATTTGGCGGAAATCGCTGTGGATCTTGTTGTAGAGTATTCTGTGGCCGATGCCGTAAAGATGTTCTGATGATTCTAATCGTACTAGGAGTAATAGTTGGTTTTATAATCGGTGTTCTGGCCAACAAACCTGTCAACGAAATAAAAGCCCCAGAAGATCGAGCTACGGCCATTATGCTTATTGGATTTATCGGCGAGTTGTTCATTGCGATGTTAAAAATGTTGATTCTTCCTCTCATAATGCTAAGCATGATATGTGCCCTCTGTGTTCTGGATGCTAATGCAACCGGTAGAATTGGAAGACGAACTGTACTGTATTACCTAAGTACAACACTTCTTGCCGTGTTGTTAGGGATTGCTTTAGTTTCTCTCATTCAACCCGGAAAGCATCGACCGAACCAAGATGTGACACCAGACAAAGTTGGTCCGCGAAGGAATATTGATTCTTTCTTAGATTTAATCAGGTAAGAAGAATTCAGCAAAACATGACCGTTTTTGGCTTTTAACTTTTGTTATGCTTTGTCTATTTCAATATTGGACCGCGACCGCTTTTTTACTTGTACGGAACGAATATAGAGCAGTAAACGTGCATCGTAAAATAGTCGGATGTGAATATTAAATTCTGATTTACGATTTCGCATAAGGGAGAAAGAGAGAGAGAGAGAGATACAGAAAGAAAGAAAAGTTGGGCAAAATCAGAACTATAGCTTGCACATGTTTTATTGTTAAAAAACAAAAGGGCCAAGAGTGATCAGCTTCTTTTTCAACCGCGTAAACTATTTATTTATTCTAATTATATTTTATTTTATTTTATTTTATAATCGAATCTTAGTGTTTCTTGAAAATGCCGGCCTACTTAGCTTGGATAAAACATAAAACTAGATTTTCGATTTTGTTATCGAATTAGCGAAAAAGTCTAAATATAATTGTTCTGTTCTCAACTAAAATGCTTCAGTTATAAAAGATGGAATTGGACAAGTGGCATATCATTTCGCAAACAGGGTTTTAGAACTACGCACTCATTGCTTACGTAATGTTGACATCATTATCATGAATCGTATGGTAGCAATGAGAAACACGAATTGTTTGAATTTTTTTGAAAATGAATTATTCACTTTGTGTACTTTTTCAGGAAATTTTGCCCAAATACAAGCACACCATTTGCAAACATTGTGTGTTTAGTAGCGTTGTTTTAGTTTTCTTAAACATCTTTTTTATATTGTAGACTGTGACCATTTTTTATCGTTGTATGATCATGAAGGTACATTTGGTACAATTTCTGTGAAGTAGTTTGWCTGTTAGACTGGTATGGTGACCTGATGAACTCATGGGATGACTCAGTTAGTTGACGTTCTTYAAAACGGACTCACAGGAAGATTGTTTTCCTTAGCGGAAGTCTAGAAGAGTTTCAGCGCATTTAAGCATTTTTAATGCATCTGAAATAACGTTGAACAATAAAGTTGAGCATAAGCACGCAGTGTAACTAGTGTTTTTTCTCTCTCTCCTCTACATTTTATTTTGCTGGAACTGCTCCCACAAAGCTGTTTTTGTTTTYTTCTATTGTTTGATTTTTCAACAACGTTGTTTTGAACAGCTCCCACGTGCTACGCTAGTAAACTATTGTGTACAAATAAACCTCAAAGCCTCAGAGCAAATTATTGATGATAATTCTCGGAGAATTTGTCTCGTCAAATTAAGTTATCCGTTTAAAACTATACAGGAATATTAGTGTGCATGCTATCTTCGTCATTTTGCATTTTTTTTAAATAGTGTTTTGGAACTTTCGGTGCTTTTCTCTGCAGTATGGAAAGATACTCTTTCATTGGTGGGAGGGGAGAGGAGGGCTCGGGGAAAACTTTTATGAAATGGTTGTAGCCCTCTTCTTTTCATTCAGTAAGAAATTCATGACCCTATTGTTAACAATTCAATTTTTATACTGATAACCCACCTTGTGAAGCCCCAACCGTCCCCCAACAAAACGTATCTTGCCTAGCGTGTTTTTATATTTTTTATGTTTTCTCAGTTTCTCCTTCCTTGATAGCGTATTATATTTACGTATTATAGCATCCCGTAGTTCTCGTAGTGCTTTTAAGCCTCACCCCTGACGTTTACTAAACTTCGCGTGGATTACATGTATTGTTTCGAAGATGCTTGCAAACATAGATCAGCTGTCAAGTTTCCAGGCTTCATGCCTCAAAAAAATGTTTTTTTAAATCCCCAAATATTACATTATGTAGTCTAAGGAAGCTATTAAACTGATCTTTTGATATATACTTTATGGAAAATCTACGATTATACTGTGACATTCAAATGGTTTTCTTTTTTGATGCAGTCGAATATTTTTGTTGTATCAAATTTACAGGTTGAAGCGCGGGAAAATTGTTGACGCTTGTATTAGAGCTAAATGCTATGTTGTGAGAAGCCCCTTCGTTGACACAGAAATATTTAAATATTTGATGTTTGTTCTTTCTTATCAACAGAATGTGTTTCCCAAACAACATCGTTGAAGCAATGATGATACAGGTAAGACTCCAGGAATGCAACGGATCAAGGAAGAAAAAAATGAAAACAAAATGGCGGGAAAATATCACACTACCCGTCGTGGCATCGCCGAATGCAGACAAGAAAATATGAACTTAATATTCTCTTGATGCAGACAAGCGTTTCACGGTGGGGGAGGGGGAGGGGGGAGGGGGAAAGGAATGTTGAGAATTACGTTTCACGGAAAATAAAAACGGTCAAATCACCGTTCACAAACTAAGGGAATGGCTATTTCACGTTTCAAAAAAAAAATTAAAAAAATAATAATAATGAATAAATAAACAAAAATAAAAACTGCGAAATCACGTTTCACGAAATTAAGAAAATGGCTATTTCACATTTCAAAAATATATTACGGCTTATTTTGTATCACTCCAACATCCACATATGTAAAACAAATTTGGCTAAACTTTAAAAGTTAAGGCCAACTGAAGCTCAGCAACTGCCTTAGCGGGTTCTCTGTGGTGTCATCCACGCCTGTCTTGTTGCCGTATTAAATTTTGTACGTTTATTTTCGTTTAGAAAACAACCAAATACAAGACAGAGCCCGGGAAGTACACCTACGTAAATCATACTATAGACCGCAGCAAAAACAATACAGTTACCGGGAAAACCGTATTCTCTAACGCCACCACGAACGTTACAACAGAAAAAGTAGAAATCTACCCTCCTTCGGATACCGTGCCCAGTGGTCTTACTCCTAAACCTGGCTTGAATGTACTGGGGATTGTCGTGTTCTCTATTGTATTCGGTATAGTGCTTGGACGATTAGGAGACCGTGGCACCCCCCTGAAATTAGTACTAGAGGCTATGAATGAAGTTATCATGCAGATGATTACCATAGTCATGTGGTAAGTYTTGGCGGTAATATTGCGGTGTCGTGACACTTGATGGTTTCCACGTGCGTCTTCTTGCGCTCTCATTGGTTCTGAGTAAATCGGAATTGTTTTGGTGTAAAAACTCTCCGCGGTCTATGATTTGAAGAATTTTTTTTTACAATTTGAAATCCGCATGATAAATTTGTGCTTTAAGATAATAGAAGGGAATTTTTACTTCAGTTGTCTTTCAAAGTCCTCAAAACAACTCTGACTCATTTTTCACTGCTGTCCATAAAAAACGCAGACTTTGGAGCTCGACTTTGGATATATAATCTCGTTTACACGCATGCTCAGTAACGTATTCAATCTTTTTCCCCAGGCTCTCTCCCATTGGTATATGCAGCTTGATAGCGAAAAATCTTGTCGCGATGAAAGACATCCCAAGCTCATTTGCTGCTCTTGGCATGTTCATGGTCACGTCCATCTCTGCTCTAGCCATTCACGGGCTTATTTTGCTACCTTTAATTTATTTCATCTTTACCCGTAAAAATCCGTACAAGTTCATGTTCAACATGCGTGATGCCATTATAACTGCTTTTGGTACCGACTCAAGGTAAAAAGAACGCTATTTTTTTAAAAAGGAAATTGATTTTTTTTCAAACTTTACTACAGTACGATCGACCATTAGCACAGGGAAACCTAGAAAATTTAGAAAATTTTAGAAAATTAACTTTGCTCTTTGTGGGTTTCCTGTGTTGTGATCGATTTCCTATTACATAAAGCTGTAATGAGATCTGCGCTGTAATTAGATCGGCGCTGTTAAACTGATAGCCAATTAAATTCAAATCAATAACCGTTGGTAACGCACTCTCTAGTAAACACTCACTAGAAAGTGCGTTACACACCACAGGCAACCCATAAGAAACAAAACACCAACTATCTGCTAGTTTTTGAACGTACGCGGACACAACACTCGCCTACAGTCCAAGAGTCATGTTATTCTTACTATGTATACCCGCAATCACGTTTGAAGCGCCTACTTTTCTCTGGGTCACCTAACCAACACGAGAAATATAGACTTTGGGAACGAGAAAATACGAGCATGCGTAATAAGAATGGCAATGCATGTGACAAGCCTCGTGGCTTCCATGACCTTGAATATTAATTACTGCTATTAACACACCTTTTTTCTCCTCATTTTAGTTCAGCAACTCTTCCAACCACAATGCATTGCTGCGAAGAAAAAAACTTTGTTGACAAGCGTGTGGTTCGTTTTGTGTTACCTCTGGGTGCGACAGTTAATATGGATGGGACTGCTCTTTATGAAGGCATCAGCTGTTTATGGATCGCACAGATGAATGGAATGGATCTGAGTGCCAGCGAAATCATCACTACTGTGTAAGTAGTTCCTATGGAGGAAAAAAAATACTAATAATTTTYTAAAATCGTCACGGTAGATCTTTTACTTTCGGCACGATAATTTATGGACTACATTCCATTCTCTTGACCCCCCCCCCCCCCCCATTTCTTTCTTAGTTTAACAGTTCATTAATTCCCATGTGATTAACAAAAGGAGGTGAGATATTCTCAAGGCAAGCTATCACACGTGATATGAAATGGGAAAACATTACGCCCAAGATCATAGGTAGTTGTCAGTCTGCTTTACGTAGTTTTGATGAGAAAGACTAATGACAATTAGATAGCAAGTCTCCTCCCGATTACCGAGAGAAGACTGCATTCACCATTTTCCATACATTGGTTCACTGGTCAAACACAAAGCGCTCAAGCGAGGCGCCAAGGTACTTTCAAAGGATTATTCAAATGTGAACCCTGCAACCTCGACTGAATGCTTTGTGTTTGACCAGTGAACCGATGTATGGAAAATGGTGAATACATAACATATTACAATGTATAATATTCAAAGACTGACAACACCATTAGACGTTTTCATTTAATTAGACCAATATATGATGACAACCATTCAACTACAAGTTTTCATTAATAAGATTTAAAATGTTTCTTTTTAGTCTCACGGCCACTGCTGCAGCCATAGGAGCGGCTGGTATCCCATCAGCAGGCCTGGTTACCATGTTGATCGTCTTGCAAGCCGTAGGACTCCCAACTGATGACATTGCCCTTATATGGTCAGTCGACTGGTTCATGTGAGTATATATYTAGTCTTTCTTTATAGCCCTTGAAAACCCAGGACGACTTTTGGGGGGATAGGGCAAGGTTTTTGGCAAATGATGCACTGAAATTACTCGACTAAATCATTCCCATCATTCTCCTTCCCATAGTGACCGTTTCCGYACGATCGTCAACGTCATGGGTGACGCTTATGGTTCAGGAATCGTCGAGCATCTATCACGTGATGACATCATGATGATGGACCACGTGGCCGCTGACGAAGGACACACACTTGAACTTGGAGAGCGCTATCGTTCCAAAGACCCGGATGCAGAGAACGTCTAAATCCATCCCAGAATACAATGGGTTCTTCTCTTCACTTCGGGGTTTTGTGATGTATTGCTTTCATAGTTTTAATATTAAGTAATTAGCATAAGAATAGGTAAAACTAAATGGCTTTTTGTTTTATGTTAAGTAATTTTGTTTTAGATATAGGTAAATTTTTATAGTTTCTCCGTTGGCTTTGATGACCAAGAATTGTTGAAAGGYATGTAAATTATTATGCAAAACAAAATGGAAATTTTTAATGACTGCAGCAAAGGAACCAAATGCTTGACGGGAAGAATAGCCAAAGTCCAAAAGACGAAGGAGGCTAATAGTCAACCATTCCCTGCTAGCAGAGTCTCCCTCGGCGAATCTTGGCAAAGACTCTGCCGGTACAGGCTGTTTTCTCTGCCAAGAATCGCCAACGAGGGAGACTCTACTAGCAGAAAACGCGGCCCTAACGAAAGGTGGCCCGTATAGCAATTTCCAATTCGGCTTTMGTAAAAACAGTTTTTTTGTACTCTAAATTAACCTTACTTGGGAGTTGCTGGATGGTGGATGAGATATTATATAAAATATATATAGCACATGCTCGGAAAATCGTCGGGAAGGTGATGTAAGCGTGACATTTCAAAATTTGAATTTTGAATCTYGTGATTTTTATCCGCCTGATTTCTTTTATGATGAAGATATTTCCCTTTGTGTTTGAAGGCAAGTTTAAATTCATCTAGTTTTTCTGTTTGTTCAGTCATTGGTCGAACGCCGAGCATGTGCAATACACCTCTATTTCATGCAAGTAAACAATCTCGTACCCAGAGCCTGCGTTTTTTTTGGGCCTGCGGTGAAGAACGAGGGCTCTGGCATAATTTATTTTTTGAGACCAGGATTTCTTGGACTTCCGGTATTTAMAGCGCACGCGTTCAAAAGCTTGCGAAAAATTATAAATATTTTTTYCCGATTTTTAATTTTTACTATGATTTTTACTTTGATTTTTACTTCGATTTAATTTTTACTTTGCTTATTTTGATCGTTTATATCCAATTTTTCAAAAATTGCGAATGCGCCAAAATATGGATTATGCCAGAGCCCTAGTTCTTCGCCGCAAGCCAGAAGAAACGCAGGCTCTGGGTASGAGATTGGCAAGYAAACAGTTCTTAAGGCGAAAAATTATTAATGGCGATGCTGGATAGTAAGCTATATAGTATTTCAAGCAGTGAATTTAGCATTGTAAAATATTAACAAATCTCTTTTAAAGTGATTTTYCTTCGCCCATGAAAGAATAGTCAATTTTCATTATTTTCATTTGTTTTACTTGGACCGTTAGACTAAAGTCAAACGTCGAACTTCACATGAGCCGAACCTAATTACATCAAAGAAGACCGCCTTGTTATCCATTTGTTGCAATTAGATTCGGCTCATGTAAAGTTCGACGTTTGACCTGAGCCTAAGACTAAAGTCAAACGTCGAACTTCACATGAGCCTAACCTAAATGCGTGCGGCTCATGTGAAGTTCGACGTTTGACCGCAGCCTTCGTCACTAATTCGTTTCACGGGTTAAGTAAGATCACTCTAATACGATTATTTGTTTAGTTCGACATTGGTCTAAGTTTAGTTTTCTAGTATTATAACACGAACCATTAATCTTTTGTGACTATTCTTAATCCCAAACCCTAATTATTAGCCAACTCGAAGGTTTAAAATTATACGATTTGGCTAATGAGTAGGGTCTGGAAACGAGAATACTTTTGTGACACGCAGAKGGACTGGCGACTAATCGCCTTGTCCAAATTCTGAGAAAGACTGGTAACAAATTTGTACCGCAAAGAATTGTGGGGCTTTATTTTGRAAAGAAGACCCAAAATAAATCGAGGAGGGGAATTGAAACATTAATTTCACACGGTTTGGACTGATGGGTTTGTTCGCTGTGATTTTTTAAATATATGTAATGTGGAAAAGCTATATTTTGACCTGCAAGAAATCTATATAATTATAAGTGTTCGTTACGCTAGCAGAAACTCGGACTTCTTCCCTTAATACGACCTCTCGGAAGCATTTTGTACATAGATTTACCGACTTCTTTACAAAGTTTTGTATGAGTGGTAAAAAAAGAAGCGATACACACAAGCATTGGCGTGTGTGACGTCATTGCAATGAATAATCCTCATTTGAGTGTTTTTATTGACGTCATCTTGATTCAGGATTAGGATTGGATAAGAATATTTTAATGCTTTTTGGCCAATTCTGTCTTTGCAAGTTACGTCATCGCCGCCATGTTGGTGGTATTTGACAAAAAAGGTCTCATCTTTTTTGTTAACACTACTAACACGGAACGCTGTGTCTTTGTCTATTGACTTTCTTTTGACTCGCAAAACAAGAATCGAGAGCAACATGCCAATATGATACTCATACAAACCGATTTATTTTTACTGACCTTGTTTAAAATTGCACGAATATATTTATATGGTTTTGTCTGTCTTGTAATTATAATAAATGCATGGGAAATAAATGTTTTGAAAAAAAAAATTTCGTCTTTCATTTGTAATCAATGTCATCTGCGAACGTGGCAAAGAACATTGATCATTCGAAATATCCGCTTCATATCGAYGGGGAAGATTCAAAAATGATCTAGATATTTTAGAGTAGGAACAATGCTCCGTTTTTATATGAAGACAATTTGCATTTTTTTAAAGGAAAATTTCCAAACCATTTTTGGAATACAAATATTCTTCGTTTGCAATAGACGTCATAGCCGCCATGTTGGAAGAATTTGACAAAAGATTTTTCAATGAATTCTTTTGTTATATCTTCCAACATGGCGGACATCCCTTTTGTTATTGTGCTCTCTTGGGATTGATTGCAAACCAAGAATAAGTCATAGTTGCCGGAGGCAGGCTAATTTATTTAGTCAAATCCGACTTGTGGTCTATCAACAACGCTGCATTCTGATTGGATAAGATAAGTTACTACTAGGCTGCGAGTTATATCCTACTAGTAACAAGTGCCAGCTTTGAAAATCAAAACATTACATTTTATTTTTGATTCAAAACTTTGTTTGCATCTATATATTGAACCGTCTAGCTGGATTTGACTAAAACAATTAGTCCTTTAGCCATCATGCCGAGTAAATATAAACTTAGTTYAGGCTGAAGTAATTTCAATCTTATTATACACATGTTTAGATAGTATTGTCAAAAGGTCTTCCCTGCTAGCAGAGCATATTTTCCTTTTAAGGGAGAGAAAGWTGAGAGACTCTGCTAGCAGGGAACAAAACGTCTCAACTACAAGTACAGACCCTGTCAGTCAGTGMTTAAAATGGCGAACAAAATGAACAACTATCTTGGTTTCTCTCGTTTAGTTTAAGTCGAGCATTCTTGGTCACTGTCCTCTCATTATCTAAAGCTTTAGATCTACTGCTTTCAGAGTGTGTTGTCACTTGTGAATACGTGTATAACATGCGGACCTACATATACTACAAAGTACAACGCTTGAATACTTACCATCAACAGGCTCTTTGCTTGCTTTCTTTTAACCAGGGTAACTGAGTTTATAAGCAGTTTTCTTTCCATTGAGAAGATCTTTCTAATTATTTCTATTCGACGCTCAAAAGTTTTGGTGACTAATCACCTTCAAACAATCTTTCCAGGTCGGATGCAGCACGTCGGAATGCAGCTCAATTTAATTGGAGGACTTAACAATAGGTTTCCAATACTCCTTTTTACAGTTCCATTCASTGAYYACGAATAATAGTTCCTAGCCGAGGCTGGGATTTCCGAGCATAGCAAAACTACAGTTTATCATGCGCGGAAACTCCAGCCTCGGCTAGGAACTATTATTCGTGGTCACTGAATGGAACTGTAAAAAGGAATATTCTCATGATACTCCAAATTGAGCTGCTTTAATGTCACATGTAAGGGTCTATAGGAACTGACCCAAATACAACAATTGTTTGAAGGCAACATAGAGTGTAACTCTAATAACTCCTATTCGTTTTCACCCGTCACTTGATGAAGCTAACTGAAATTTCATTGGCTAGCTTGTTGTCCAGATTTAGTTGCAAATACACGAAGCATGTTTGAACGTAGGTTTAATTTCAGGTAGTACACTTTTCAGTTTCCCAACTTTGGAAGAGTAGTACACGTAAGCTATCAAATGAAGCTGAACACAATATGCCTTTCATTGTTATTTTATAGGAACTACAATTTATATTTAGTGCATTACTACCCAATCTAGAGTACGTGCCAACAAAATGACGTCATTGGGGTTAATTTTCTCACATATCTCAAGAAATAAGCTTTTTAAACAAATTTCATTCATATATATTTATCACTACTAACAGACTATACATTTTAAATTATGAAATGTTTTCGTGACATATACACTTTATTTCACGAAGCTATGTGAWACAGCCGGTTCCTTATGTCATTTCCCAGAATACAATTCGGTTTCGGCTTCTATGTTCTATGTTTCCAACCYGACAATGATTTTGCAACTGAGTGTAAAAAGTGAAACGCGCTGAATAACAAACAGGATCATTCTACGAATACCTGCTGGAGGCTATGACACGAAGCTGCAGCTGGGACTGAGCTGAGAAAGAAGAAGGAGAAGATTGAACGAGYTTACGTTGCATGTAAATAAATATTAGCAATGCGGATAGAAGAGGCATCTCGCGCCTCGGAAGGGCGCTCCAGTTAAGAGGTAATCAACGGACTTGCTTATTTATAAATTACACGCATTATTTATACAAAAGACTCCAAATCTTTCATTTTATATTATTGAGGCGTAGGTAATAAAATGCTGTCATACTGCAAAAGGGTGTTTTCGCAAGAAAACTCTTTAAGGCGGTTGTTTTGATCCAGCTTGTCCAATTCAGTTCCTCCAGCTTCGCCATTTTCGACTTTTTCCGCATCAAAGGCCAATAGGTCGTCACGTGACATGTGATTGACAACTCCAGCACCAACAGCGTCTCCCCATACGTTGACCGTTGTACGAAAGCGATCACTGAAAATTTACAGAGTTAGCCAAGCGCTAAATTGCGAAGGGAATATGATTAGCTTGTGGAAACAATAATYTTGCTAAATCTTGCTTCCGAGAGAATAACGGAAATTGACTTTTGGCCTCCATTAAACCACAAGTTCTGATTGGTTGTCCTAACTGAACTTGGCCGCGCAAGTAACGATTTGGGCATGCGCAGTACAATTCACCTTTGACTCGTTTCAAATATTGTCCTGACTGTAAATATTTAATAATTATTGTGTGCAATCAACAATTTAGACATGCGCAGTGCAGACAACTCGTGATTAGCTAATAATAATTTGAGCGTGCACATACATTGGGGCTCGAATTCTCGGAGTTGAAAATCGAGAGACTTTTGGTATGAAAAATGCATGAAAGAAAATAAGAATTATGCAGATATCATTTGGAATCAGAAAAAATTGCCTTGCGCTTATAAATCGAGATAGTTTGCTCAGTCTCGTCCAATAACTGTTTATAAATTAGGGTACTTACAGAAGCCATTCCACTGGTAAAATAAGCGCCAGATCTTCCACAGGAAGCCCAAGCGACTGCAGCAGGATGACAGGAAAGATAAACCCAGCTGATGGGATTCCTGCGGATCCCACGGAAAGAGCTGTTGCCATGGCACTATATATAATCACAAAATCTATTATTTTCAAAAAATAACTTGACTTTGTTAAGATTAGAAATTACTCTATACTGTTCAATTGAAGATCTAAATTGTTCCTTTTAAAAAAGGAGAACTCGAGTTCAGACGGATGGTGTACTCGTCAAAAAAATTGTGGACTTCGCCGGAAAACGCGTCTAGACCCACCTACCGAAGAGCGGGAACATAGGATTGGCGAAATGCGTAAATTGAAATGGTCTAAGAGAATGAAACTAAAAATTGTTTAAACTAAGTAGAAAAAAGGGAGAAAGAAAGAAACGTTTGCCAAAAATGCTCCACCTACCTGTGCAACTGACATCAGTCTTTGTCGCTAGGAAAATTACAGCGAAAGAAATTCGCACTGTAACACTACTCTTGAAAAATTTGTTTCGCATCGCTGTTGCACTGATACATTTGAGCTATATCAATAAGCGTCAACAACGCCAAAGAACTTACATGTTTATGAAAATGAAGGCAGGCGTGATGGGTACACCGTTGAGTTGGGCGACAAATATGCCAACGTTTGCTTCAAATATGGCTCCACCATCCATATTGACTGTTGCGCCAAGKGGTAGCACAAACTTGGCAATTCTTTCATCAATTTGGTTGTTTTCCATAGCGCAGCGAATAGTCGTTGGCAGGGTTGCCGCACTGGGGATACAAACAAACGAACAAACAGAATTTCGTGAGATCCAGCGGGAATCAAGGATGGTGTATAGTGGTAGCGCACCCAGCTCTCACCTCTGGGGTCTCGGGTTTTATTCTTTAGTAGACTTGGTATCACAAGTGAGCAGTAGGGTTGAATGAATCTACCCCCGGAGGATTATTCATCCGTACGCGAATGTTCAAGGTTTCATCCCTCGTGTCCTGACTTAGATAATGCAGCGCTGAGGTTGTTTCAGGATTCGATATGTGAGTTAGACGTGYCCTGACTTAGGTCAGCCCAGAGGTCGTTTCAGGATTCGATCCAATCTGTGAGTTAGACGTGCCCTGACTTAGGTTAACCCAGAGCTTGTTTCAGGGTTCGATCTTTGAGTTAGACGTGCCCTGACTTAGGTTAACCCAGAGCT